GGTAGGGGCCACAGTAACACAGAGTGCTACATATGTGGGTCAAGAAACCATTACAAAAGGGACTGCCCTAGAAACACGGGGGACAGGGACAGGACACACCGAAGGGACAGACCAGAACAAAGGGCAAGGTACATTAGCAGACACTCGCCAGAGGACAGATACAGGCGCAGGGACTCCCCGAGCCCCAGGGACAGGAGGAACCACAGGGACAGCTCCAGGGAAAGCCAGACTGGTTCACTGTATGGGCTAGGAGACAAAGAACAACACAAAGGCCAGGACAGGGAGGAAGGCACATGGCTACTGGACTCAGGAGCCACAAACCACACCACATATGACCGTAACCTACTAACCTCATTTACAGAAGAGAGCTTTATAATAAAAGTGGCTACCAGAACAATGTGGAGGTGACAGGGAAAGGTAACGCATATGTGCCAGGGGTAGGAGTCATACAAGGTGTGCTATTAGTACCAAATATACCGTATAACATCCTTGCCACACTAAAACTAAGCAAGAACAACAATGTAGAGGTGACATTCAAAGAAGGAATGGCACAGGTGACCAGAGGGGGCAAAAGCATAGGGAAGATAGTGATCAGTGGGGACCTGCCATTCCTCCACCAGTCAGGGGCATGCAGCCCAAGGTAAACAATCATCAGAAGGTAAAAACAGACAGCACAAGTGAGGAAATAGAGGGGGTTAATCACACACACATCGCTGGTGACTCAAATGAGCAAGGGACACCCAGGAAGGAAAAACCAGCAATAGGAAAGTTGATGCATGACAACTGCACACACCTGTTACACAGAAGATTAGGGCATATTAGCTTCCCTGTGGTGCAGAAAATGCTGGAATGCTCTGAAGGTGCAAAAATAAAGAATTGTGAGAACTATCTCGAGTGTTCTATTTGTAAAAGCTCGAAATTAAAAACCAAACCCAGGCCAAAAAAATCAGTGCGCACAACCAATTCAATTTTCCAACTTATACAGATGGACCTAGTGGGGCCACTAAGGCCCTCCATCAAATACAGGAAGAGATACTTCCTAACCATAGTGGATGATTTCAGCCGCTATGGCTTCGTATACACCTTAAAACAAAAGAACGAGGTATTCCAAAAATTTAAGGAGTTCTATGCAAGGGTGGAGACACAACATAACACCAAGATCAGACAAATAATGACAGACAGGGGGTCTGAATTCTTATCAAGCGACTTCTCGCGATGGCTGAAGGCACGTGGGATAGTCCACTACACGACTTCTCCATTCTCCGCCTTTCAAAATGGTGTTGTAGAACGAAAAAAATGGAACACTGCAGACCATGATGAGGTGCGCACTAGAGGATGCCGGTTTAGGGTAGCATTTCTGGTCAGAAGCACTCATTTATTCGAACTACACTTTGAACAGGCTATGGTCCAGCGTATTGAATAAAACTCCATACAAGTTGATGTACCAAAGGAAACCACAGGTGTTGCACTTACACATATTCGGGGTCACAGCAGATGTGCACATCCCCAAGCAATTGAGACATAAAGGGGACAGAGTATCCAGAAGGTTGAGGTTCATGGGGTATGAACCAGGGACGAAGGGATACAGGTTCATAGACAGCAACAACAGGTTTGTGATATCACGAACAGCTGTCTTTCACGAAAACACTAACTGGTCCAAGATACATCTCAACGAGGTGTCCCTTAGCAAGGACGGACCAGGGGATGGCCAAAGGGAGATGAAGCACAACGCAGGAAAGGGCACAGAGCGGGAAAGGGGCAAACCCAAGAGACAGGGAATACTAGTGAAGGAGTGGAAGGAGAACCACCCATGTATCAAAGTGGACTCACTCATAGAGAAAGAAGCTAGGTACATGCATGACACTGAGACACCCCCTGCCAGGCCAATCAGAGCAAACAGGGGCAAAGCGCCAGAAAGGTTAGGGGACTAGGTGTTATCCCTCCATACTAACCAATTAACCCCCAACACATATCAGGATGTACTAAAATTACCAGATGGGGAAAGAGCAAAATGGGAACAAGCCATGGAAAGGGAGATGAACAGCCTGAGGGAACTAAACGTATACACCCCCTCTGAAGTCCCAGCAGGCAAAACACCCATAGGCACCAGGTGGGTCTACAAAGTCAAAACACTAGAGGGAAACAAAGTCCTCTACAAGGCTAGGCTGGTGGCTCAGGGGTTCGCCCAAAAATACCCTGATGACTATACTGAAACCTGCTCCCCCACAGTCAGGGCCGAGAGCGTAAAATGTTCATTGGTAATTGCATCACTACTTGGACTAGAAGTGCACCAGTTCGACGTGCAAACCGCTTATCTTCACGCTGAGCTTGATAAGGAAATATACGTGAGAGCGCCACCTAGCCAAAGCACCAGGAAGGGGGAAACCTGGGTCCTGAACAGAAGCCTGTATGGACTCAAGCAATCAGGGAAACGCTGGTACGAATGTTTATCCAAAACACTGAAGTCCATGGGGTTCCCAGCCACCTCGGCCGACAACTGCTTCTTCACCAAGAAGTCAGGCAACTCTCTCGAATATGTCTTGATATATGTGGACGACATACTGTATATTGGTGATCAGGCTAGCAAATGCAATGACTTTGCCAATGAGTTGGGAAAACACTTTTCACTGAAAATATTGGGTAAGGTAGATAAATACTTGGGGGTGCAAATCACGAAAACAGACAAAGGTTTCCAACTATCACAGAAAGACAAAATTTTGGAACTAATACATAAATGCAATATGACAAACGCCAAAGGGTGTGAAATGCCAATGCAGCCAGACTTCATAAAGGACATGTATAATGAATCTGAGGCGTTCAAAGACAACACATTGTACAGATCAACCATAGGCTCTCTACTATACATTGCGAACTGGACAAGGCCCGACATCGCACTACCAGTCAATCTGCTATCCCGACATGTAGGCAAACCCACCGTATACCACTGGGAAGCCATCAAAAGGGTATTGAGATATCTAAAACATAGCGCTGATGCCTGCCTAGCACTAGAACCCGAGAAAACCACAACACCCACACTCTCATGCTACGCAGATGCTGACTGGGCTGGGGACGTGAAAAGCAGGAAGAGCACATCAGGTTACATATTCTTCCTCAACAACAGCCCAGTACATTGGTACACGGGCAAACAAGACCTGGTAGCTACATCCACAACAGAGGCTGAATACATTTGTTTGTCCAAAGCTGCCAACAACCTGGTTTGGTTTGATGACCTGCTCGCGGACATATGGGCAGAACCCAACTATCCAATCACCATACACGAAGACAATAAGGCCACTGTGGAAATATCAAAGGCTGAGGCAGTCGGCCAAAGGTCAAGGCATATTGACATAAAGTACAAACACGTTAGACAGTTCGCAAGCATAGGGTTCATAAAGGTTATACATTGCGACACCGAAGAACAAACAGCGGACATTCTAACAAAACCATTACAAAACAAACAGCACACATATCTTACATCAAAATTGGGTGTCCTCTTAGAAACGACATCTCAGGTATGCACCGCCCAAGAACATCTCGGCCAGGCATTTAGAGGGGGTTTTGTCAGGAATAAATGCCTTGCCTCTGAACCAGAGCTGGAAGCAGGGGGGGCCGGGCAAGCCAACCCCCAAGGTCTACCCTAACCCAATAACCCCTCCTTACCTTAGCCATGCCCAAGGGGTACTTAAGGGTCAGCCATGCGGTCCAGCAGCAGTTCCAGCATTGTACCTGTAATGATAAGATGCCTTGTTAATAAACTATATCTGGATTGATGAATACTTGCCTGTGGAGTTATTGGGCGCGATCCTTGAGCATATTCACATGTTCAAAGGAAACAAACTGCATCATTTGTGCAATAACACTATGCACGTATGAAGTCTCTTTCTCTTGGATCTCCCCTTGCACCTTTTCCCAGAGATGCCTCTGCTTGTTTTGTCATTTATAGAAATATCACTCTAAAAAGACAATTAAATTGGAGGTTAAATAATATTTGTATTGCTCTTTAGGTTTATAGAAGTATTCATATTCCAAAGTTTCAGTTCTTTGTTTTTGTACCTACCTTTGGTTTTGTCCTTAATTTTAAAAAAATCTTTGTTTCTGGTCTTGTTTTAATTCTTTAGTAGCCATATCTCCCACAGAGAGGGACTCCTCAGGGTGCTGTCGGTCAAACAATGTCGACTGGCGACCCCCAGGGGGAGAGTCTTCTCTGTGGGAGCACCTGCCCTTTGGAATGAATTGCCCCCGGAGATATGTATGATCCCTGACCTACGTACCTTTCGCCGTGCCCTTAAGACTTTACTGTTTCAACAGGCTGGGCTGGCTTAAATAACGAATTTTAATGGGTGTTTTAGTTTTTTAATATAGGGCCAAATTATTTAATATGTTTTAAACTGTTTTTAAACTTTATGGATATATGTGTTTTATTGTGGCTGTGCACCGCCCTGAGTCCCTCGGGAGAAGGGCGGTATAAAAATTTAAATAATAAAATAAATAAATAAATAAATAAAATATAGCATTAATTTTTTTTTAAAAAACACCCAAATTTTATTATAGCAAAACATTTTCTCAATTAGACTCTACTTCATCCAATGCATAGAGTATAATACTGATAATACTGAAATACTCCTCTTTCAGCATAAAATAACATATTGCTGATGTAACAGATCATAGTCTAAGAAAATGTGTACTATATTTTTTTAGTCCTCTAGCTAGCATGTCTTCTTTAAATCAATCAATAACTAATTTCTGGAAAAAATGTTTGGGATCATAAATTGCTTCTCTGCCTCAGATAAAAATGGGTAAATATCTCCATTCAGACACAAAAATGTGCCAACTCTCTATTTCGCATTTCAGCGGGATAAATTGAATCATATAAAGTCATCTTTTAAATGGATAGGAATCTCAAATAATTGGTCTCTGTTCATGAAAAAAAAAAAGCAGTTCAAAGTTGAGATTTTGCAAGTAACCAGCAAAGTGTGTAGCAAATTTGTTTCTTATTACAGGCACAGGAGTTACTTCTGGTGTGTCAGCCAGTTTCCCAAGTACATCTGGCACAAGTACTCATTCTCCTTTTCAACATGTGCACAAAGGTAAGAAAAGCAGATCTTGATTTAATTCTTCTTTGTAGTTAATAGCAGGCTTCGGGCCACAGTAGCCTTTGTAATGTCAGCTTGAAGGAAATTTGGCAAATGCAATGACACAACTAGGAAAGACCAAGTGAATGTTTAGGGTCTATTACCCACCAGGCTCTATCATTCATTCATTCATTCATTCATTCATTCATTCATTCATTCATTCATTCCATTTCTGAACACTAGGAGTTCATAATTCTAAAACTATAAAAACAGTTAAAATAATTGACAGTGGTGGGATTCAAATTTTTTTACTACCGGTTCTGTGGGTGTGGCTTGGTGGCCATGGCAGCGGAAGGATACTGTAAAATCTCCATTCCCTCCCACTCCAAGGGAAGGATACTGTAAAATCTCCATTCCCTCCCCACTCCACGGGAAGGTTACTGCAAAGTCCCTATTTCTCCCGATCAACTGGGACTCAGGAGGCAGAGAATAGATGGGGACGGGGCCAGTCAGAGGTGGTATTTACTGGTTCTCCAAACTACTCAAAATTTCCACCACCGGTTCTCCAGAACTGGTCAGAACCTGCTGAATATCACCTCTGAATTGATAACAATAAAAACATTCAAAAAATAAATACATACGGTAGCCCAGATAGTTAAATAACTAACAGAAAAGCCAAGAAACAGGGCCCTTAACACAGCTTCAGACCCAGGTAGATAGCCAAGTTTTTAAAGACTTACAAAAGGCCAACAGGACGGGGGGGGGGTGTTCTTTTCTCCAAGGGGAGAAATCCCTACAAAGCTACAGGAGAGTGAAAATTATAAAGAACAGGTGGTAAAAGGACTACAGTCGACAGACAAGCCTTCACAATGGCTTCTTTTCTCTGATGTGAGGAATCCTCAGAATTATTCTTCAGCAATCAGTTTACTTCAGTAAAGATGAATTATATGACTTTCATTTGCCAATGGATGTACCTATTCAGGGAAATTAATTTAGTTGCTTTATCTCCTTGGGTGTAACTGACTTGGAAAGCAGAAATTTAATGGAATGTAGTCAAATGAACAAGCTTTTGGCTGCTAATACACCAGATCCTTGCTTAGGAGACATATATATGGAAATGATATGCAGCCTTGTAATTGGGGTATGTGGTTTATGAAAGCAGCTTTTTGTTCTGATCCCAAGAGTAATCATCACTGTAATGTGTGAAGAATGCCCAGCAAGTTCATTAGTTAATTGCAAGGAGAGGGAACGTGCTGCACTTGCATGGAAGTAATTTACCAGGCATTTAGTGAGACTTCTACACTAGGGCCTTTTATGCATGACTGGGGAATACCCGCATACAATAAGTCTCAGTTTACAAATATAAAAATTGGGGATGTTCTTGAATTGGTGCAAGTTTACCTTCTTTGCCAGTTGCATGTTTCAAACTGGCATAAAACGAAAACCAACAAGCTGCAGAAAAATATATTGAAATGCCTGCATGGCCCAAGAAGGTTGTTTGTTTGTTTATTTATTGAAATTTATATGGCTGTCCAACTCGCACTTAGTGACTCCAGGTGGCTTATAAAGGATAATTTGCTAAAGCTCAAATAAGAATATTTGTTTTATAATAATGTTTATAATAATGTAATCGCAGTTGGAACCTCTGGCTGACTGTGTGATGAACCATATACTGGTAATATTAATAAATAAATAAAATACAAACAAAAAAATAAATAATAAAATATTCTACATAGTATCTACTATCTCTACAGTGAGATAGGTAGCAAATAAATTTAACAAAATAAAACGACCAAAAGAATCCATTGCGAAGAGTCAAGGAACCAAATGGCAGATTCATTTCTACTGAAAATCCAAGTCTTACCTTTAGGTGACCATTATAAATAAAAATAAATGCTAGTGGCAGAAGGATTTCAACTCCAGCTTTGATCTTTTCATGGCTAATACTAAAAAGACTGAATAGACAAACTGGAATTGTCAGTGAGCCATTATAAAATGTCCACAATTTGCAATGAATGTCATATTCTGAGATGGGTATTGACTAGTGAGGATAGAGCATCCAAAACTACATTTTCTCTTATTGTTATTTTCTGAATGAGCTCTGTGAACAATGTTCTGCGGTGAAAGGAGGGTGAAAAAACGATTGAAAGAGTGAAGATAGATTGCAATCTGAAACATAGAGGTTTATAAAGCCCACCCTTTTATTCTGCTGCAAGCAAAGAACAATTCAGCTGACTTAAATTAAAATACTATACAGTATGGCAACACAATCCTAGGTATAGTTACTGTATATTATTAAAATGACATGAGCTCCACATGCTAGACATGAAATGTAATTGGCTGCTTAGAAGGGAAAGGTTTGACCCAGGAAACTAAGAAGTTGTTCTCCCAACTCTAATCACTAGCACAGTGATGGTTGACCTTTTTGGCACTCAGTGCTGAAACTGGAGTGTTTGTGTGCATGCCGGAGCACCGGAACCGAGAAGAGAGCAGCTGGCTGGTGTGCATGCGCACGGTGACCAGTTGCTCTCTTCTGGGTTCTGACATGCACGTGTCTGCTGGCCAGCTGGTCTTCGCATGTGCCCATCGGAACACAGAAGAGAGCAGCTGTCCGGCATGCATGCGCGTGACAGAACAGGAAGAGCAACTGGCGATGGCGCACATGCCCACAGAGAGGGGTCTGCATGCCACCTCTGGCACACGTGCCATAGCTTCACCATCATGGCACTAGCATTTGTCCTGCCAGAGTGTTTCTTCAGAAAAATACAGTTCTTCACACACATTTAGTTCAGTGGTGGATTTCAAAATTTTTTACTACCGGTTCTGTGGGTGTGGCTTGGTGGGTGTGGCATGGCATGGCATGGCTTGGTGGGAGTGGCTTGGTGGGCGTGGCAGGGAAAGGATACTGTAAAATCTCCATTCCGTCCCCAATCCAGGAGAAGGTTACTGCAAAATCCCCATTTCTTCCGAAACAGCTGGGATTTGGGAGGCAGAGAATAGATGGGGGCGAGGCCAGTCAGAATTTTTACTACCAGTTCTCCAAACTACTCTAAATATCCGCTACCGGTTCTCCAGAACTGGTCAGAACCTGCTGAATCCCACCTCTGATTTAGTTCTTCATCTTTGTTGTAGACACTTAGTTGGCTAAATGTAGTAGAATTTATTTTCATAATAAATTGCCTTTACATTTAGTGCTGATTGCAATCGATAAAGATGTGATGTGATTTTATTAAAGCTCTTCTGTTAAAAGAGTTGCTTTCCTCAAAGCTGAAGAGGATGTTCCTCATCTCCCTGGACATCTTTGGAATCTGTTTTGGCAGATTGGGAGCTTTCTTAAATCCTTTTTAGGAAGCTGGATGGGACAGTAGAGAATTACATTTCATTTTCATTAGGGAAGTTTACCTTTTAATTGTATTTAGTTTGATTATATTATCCTCAGTTAATTGTTTAAGAGTACATATAAATGTACAAGTACTTGTATTAAAGACAAATACTCTGAATTGACTTTCATTTATTCTCAAGGAATTGTAAATTATAGTCATGGGCAATCTACAATCTCTAAGTCATGTTCAACCTTCGATTCCACTTTTTATGCTCCCATTTTCAGCACATACAAATCTAAAGACAGTAATCCCCCAATATCTCATATCCTCTCACTAGGGGAGTGTCACTATGCTACTGCTGTGTGCACTACAGTCCTTAATTAAATGAATAATAATAATTTTAAAGCACTATTAAAATTAGGTTAATAATTACAAATTTAGTAGATTAAAAATAACCTCCAATGAACTGTTAGATGGGGGTTTTTTGGTTTTTTTTTTATTGTTGCTTATTAAGTAACTGCAGCAAGCAAAGCACCATCAAAAAGAAATCATTGCTTTCTTCAAGCCTACAGAATGGCACCCTGATTTAAGATGATGCTGGTACTATCTATGAGATAATAACAAAACATTGGAAGGATTTTTATCTGTTTTAGAAATATTGGATTGATCCTAGATGCATTTGATCAATAATTAAACAAAGTAGTTGATGATTAACCCTGAAAATGTTTTTAAATTATATTTTCTCTCTCTCTCCCTGTTTATCATTCTAGGAGATCTTTCTGGTCAAGGGCATCTGGCTACTGCTCTTATCATTGCCATGTCCACTATTTTCATAATGGCTATTGCTATCGTGCTGATCATCATGTTTTACATTATGAAAACTAAAACTTCAGCTCAAGGTAACTGTCAATTAATAGCAAAGATTACAGTTTTGAAATGGGAGGGGGGGGAAGTTGCAGCAGAATAAAAAAAAAAGGTAAGCAGGCAGTTGTAGTGACACAATTGGAGTGTCAACCCTTGTGTTCATTATTATTATTATTATTAATATTATTTATTAAATTTGTATACCGCCCTTCTCCTTTCGGACTCAAGGCGGTGAACAGCCAAAATAAAAACATTTGTAGAAAAGTTAAAATAATTATTTAAAACTAATTAAATAGAATTTGGCCCATAATTTAAAACATATCAATTAAAATCAATATCAAACATTAAAACCAACATGGAATCAGGCCAGCCCGGCTAGCTGAAAGAAGTAAGTTTTTAGGGCCCGACGAAAAGTCCGGAGGTCTGAGATCACTCGTATCTCTGGAGGTAGATCATTCCAGAGGGTAGGTGCCACCACAGAGAAGGCTCTCCCCCTGGGGGTCGCCAGCCGACATTGTCTGGCTGACGGCACCCTGAGAAGGCCCTCTCTGTGGGACCGAACCGGCCGGTGGAAGGCAATTGGTGGCAGAAGGCGGTCCCATAAGTACCCTGGCCCTAAGCCATGGAGCGCTTTAAAGGTGGTCACCAACACCTTGAAGCACACCCTGAAGTCCACTGGAAGCCAATGCAGCTCGCGCAGGAGAGGTGTCACGTGGGAGCGCCCCGTCGCTCCCATAATCCCCTGCGCAGCCGCATTTTGCACCAGTTGGAGCTTCCGAGTGCAGCCCAAAGGGAGCCCCATGTAGAGAGTGTTACAATAGTCCAGACGACAAGTGATGAGTGCTTGAGTGACCGTGCGTAAGGAGTCCCAATTCTAGAAAGGGGTGCAACTGGCGTATCAGGCGAACCTGATAGAAAGCCCCCCTGGCCACGGCCGTCGTATGCTCTTCCAAAGACAGCCGTGCATTCAGGAGGACGCCCAAATTGCAGGCCCTTTCCGTGGGGGCTAATGATTCACCCCCAATAACCAGTGATGGCACCAGCTGGCTATACCGGGACGCCAGCAGCCACAGCCACTCGGTCTTGGAAGGGTTGAGTTGAAGCCTGTTTCATGGGATAGAATGAAGTGTGAAAAGGATGGACTGGGTTTGCCATCTTGTATTCAAAATGCTTGGTGTAGTGTAGGTGACTCTTACGAGTTAATCTTAACAAGGCGTGTATTTTGCACTTACAGCATGCTGCACCAGCCAGTCAGTGAAGACGGTAGAAGCCCAGGCCAACGTACAGGAAGAAAAAACAGAAGCCCAAGGTTGGGACTGTTTTGTAATTTCTGCTGTTTAGACATCAGTGCCCACAGGGCTTACATTGCTTTAATGTAACTGCATAAACTCCCATTGTTAGTGGAAGAGTAATTGGAAAGGCATTGAAAACTAATGAAAATTCAGCTCTGCATTTGGTTATTTATGCGTTCTTACCTGCTCGGAGAAGCTGCAAGGCAATTGTATTCACAACTCAAATGCCAGGTGGTTGTTGCTGTATGTGTCTGATTTGTGTTTTTGCCACTTTGTTCTTTTCACATCCTTTTTCTATTGCAGAAAATGGAAAAATTTTCTCTGAGAAAGATGAATTTGGAAAATTGACAGCAACTCCAGCTAAGGTTGTCAAGAGGTATGTGTTACCTAAACAGCATGCTGGTAGTGCGGGCACAACATGACAACAATTGCAATCTATTGGGGGGATGGGTGTTTGTTTCTAAACTGAGCCCCATTGAATCCAGTGGGTGAATTGCTAAGCAGTTTTCATTGGCAACGACATGGCTGGTATAATGAGATCAAATAAATTAGAAGGGACAATAATGAAGGCTCAAGCATTGTTTAAGAGGGAACAGTTTCCATTACTTAAACTCTTCAAAATTAAAACTATAAATAAGTGATGGTGTTCACATGCATATGTGGATCAGTCCCTATTAAATGAAATGTGAGGAGTGGATCTATATGTACAGAGAATTCATTCATGAATATTCAGTAAAATATTCACCAGGCCTGGACTTGGGCACATGGTTGTTGTAAGTCCTCTTGGAAGTGGAAATGCACAGAACACTACAGTCCTACATTGCTGAAGAAAACCAGGATTACTTTTAAATAAATATACTGCTAGACATTAATTTGCAGATACAAGTGAAGAGTGTTAATGTTTCTCCCTTTTTTTTTGCAGTATTTACTTACACTCAATCTAGTATTCATCATCTATATTAAATAAACATTTAACAAGTATGCAATTTAAATCCAAAAGGGCATTTCTGGAATTGTGCATGTTGCTGTTTTAGAAAAGCAATCCTGGTTAGCATATTTATTTGTTTGTTTGCTGCTTTCCAGTGAAAACGATGCTTCTTCAGAGAATGAGAGGCTTTTAAGTCGCAGCATGGACAGTGACGAAGAAGCTGCAATTGACAAGCAAGGGACTCCAGAATTGTGTTTGTTGTCTCTGGTACATTTGGCTCGAGATAAATCTTCAACAAACAACAAATCAACCGGAGTAAGTTAATTGGAAACTTTGTTGAATCAGTGACCTTTTTGATGATGTGTTACAGTGATTAGTTGCACTTTTAATGGACAGTATCCAAAAGAAAAATGTACGAAGGAATCTTTGTGATGAGCTGATGAGAAAAAGGCTAAAAATGGGGTGGAATTATATTATTTCCATCAAACTGCTAAAGCAGTGTTTCTTAACCTTGGCAATTTTAAGTTTGATGGATGTCAACTCCCAGAATCCCATAGCCAGCATGAAGTTCACCCATCTTAAAGTTGCAAAGTTTGAGAAATGCTGTGATAAAGGCTACTAGCAAGCCAAAAAGACAAATGTTTGCACACCTGGTGCCTTCACCCTCCCATCCTCTTTCCCAGATGATCTCCTTTGGCACTAAGACAGACATTTGTTTTTTTATTTTATTTTCACAGTATTGTAGTTCTAATTCCACAATTAACATAACAATAGGGAACATGTTCTTTCACTCCTATTTTCCTCTGTGGGTTCATAAAAACTTTACAGCAAGGAAAAAATGGAGAGTTTGGGTTTATAGAAGCAAAGGAATCATGTTTCTATATTGCAACTTAATGATGTTTTAAAAAGTAAAGAAAAATGAAGTTTAGCAGTAAGGTGGCACAGGATGGGAAAGGAAACATGCTTCATGGGATGGGAATGGGAGTGGAGTGGAGTGGAGTGGAGTGGAGCGGAACGGAATGGAACAGAACGGAACGGAACGGAACAGAACAGAACAGAGTAGAATAGAATAGAATAGAGTATGAGCTTCTAAGGGAGAAGACCATCATCTTAACAGGGCACTGTTCGATCAACTACAAAATTATATACATAAAAAGCATGGACAACTGAGAAGCCCAATATGAAATGGCTACACAAGATAGTGAGGGATAGCTGCTCACTAGCTGCTGGAGGGAGGGATTATGCCTGGCACTGATCAGAAAAATATGCCAGCAACGTTTATGGACTTGATAGTACAGAGTGCCCTTACAGTTTGATATAGGTGCTTTTTCATTAAATGTACTCAAATCCCACTGATACTCCCAGTTGCAACATACAACTGCCCACTCTGTAAGACAGAGAGGAAGAAGGAATGGAGGGTGGGGTGAGTGTTTGCAGCTTCCCAAATTGTAAGCATAGATACAGATTACAATTCCAGGTAAGGTATCCCCAAATCAATCACCCAAAGGACAAGAAGGGGAAAGGTGTGAATCCCCAAAGGGCTTGGGAGAGAAAAGGTCTGACACCTCCAGCCTCCAACTCTGTGGGCTTAACCATTCCGGTGCAGACAACTTCAAAAACATGTCTTCTGTGTCCATTGTGACACAGTGCACAATAAGAATAAAAGGGATCTCTCTTGATTTCTTTTTAAATGAGAATAATAATTAGGTTGCATACTGAGAAGAGAAGCTGTAATGTCAAGGAAGCCACATGGAAGAATCTTGCCTAAAGCTGCCTCAGTCTTGTCAGTGCCAATGATAATCTTGATATTTCCTCCCCATTTTCCATGGATTCAGAACTAAGAGTTGAATAGTTCGTCCAAGCCAATATATAACTTCTTAGAAATAAAATCCTGAGGGACAAATTTCTGGATTCCAAGCCAGAGCAGTGTGTGCTTTGAACAAAAATGAAAAGAGTAGATTTCATTTAAAGCACAAACAATTTGACACAATTCCTTCTTTCTAGCTAGGTATGCACAAATATATGTATTTTTTAACTTTACAGCCAAGATTCATATTTTGTTTTATGTTCAAACCAAAGCTACTTTATATACCATACCAAATACATAAGGAATGCCATTTTTGCCTCTGATTCTTCACAATCCTGAATGACTTAGGTCAGTTTAGTTTTGAAAGATAAATGTTTTTGCCTTTTATTTTCCTTAGATACAAAGCCGGAGAAAAAAGATACTCGACCTATACACTAATGTATGCAGTGTGGCAGAAGGTGAGTGAAAAGAAATAAAATATAGAAACTGAAAACATGTATGAACTGCTTTCATAAGTACACGTTTTTATGGAGCTTCAACACTGCCAAGGAGTCACAAATACTAGATACAGATTAATCCCGTAAAGTTGAATATTCTAATGCCAGAATCAGGTTGGTGTTTGGTACATTTGGAATTCAACAGGGAAAAGTCTTGAAAACTTCTTCTGTAAACAATCTCCGTGAAAAACTCCAGTAATAGGATTTGTAGTCCCATAGGCATCCTGCCTTTATCTGTGATGTTTAAGAATCAGTTCAATAGTTATCTAGAAGACAGATGGCACAAGGTGGAAAGTGTTAAAATAAACTTCTATTGTAGGGTTCTTTAAGCTGATTAATTATATATGTACACAGCCAGACTCAGAAAATAACTGTCTGTGATATACTGTACATTATTTAAAAGCTGTAAAATAGGCAAAACATATACACCTTATATACAGTAACTTACACATTTGTGGATATAAGCTGTTCACATCTGTTTTGTTTGCTTTATCTCAGTAGAAGCTTTTGAAGAAAAAGAAACTTTCAGAGGTGGATTTGTTCTTAACTGTAATAAGATGTGGGAAGTTAACTAATACAGAGTGCATTGCTCCCAAAATGAAGAGATTTTTTTTTAAAAAAACAACAACACCCACACACAAATAAAAAGGAAAATATTGCAGGAAGGTTCTTTTGAATTTCTCATAAAAGTCTGTGGAACATGAGACCTCTCAGATGATGGAATACTTCCACCATCCTTCATGAAGAGCTGTGTGGCCTGAAACAGTTTAGACATGTAGTTCAATGAGACCCAAATTCTCAGTTCTGGTACAAATGGACCATTTCTCCTGCCTCTTTTGAGGCTGGAGACACAAATCTCTTTCCTTTAATTAAATTTTGTTGTTGCTTCATGTGAAGGTTGGCAGAAGGTTACGTTGGCAAGTGTTTAAATCACAAGGGATAGAGAAGCAATGGATTAGTATATATTCCAGGAGAAGGTAAAAATAAAAAATGCTTTAAAACATAAAGTAAGAGACTCAACAATCTTTGCTGCTGCTTCTTCTATAAAATGAAATCAAAGCAGCAAAATAGAATGAACGTTGTTGAAGAATTAGCAGTAGTGAGGAAAAGTACCATGAAGTAGAAATGGGGATGACCCAACAGATAATGTCAACCCTGTGTAAATGCGATATATGTGAATATATCTTTTCATTTGGAGTATACAATGTAATATTATCTTAAGGGACAGACAAGTGAAATAGTAAAAAGGCAGATCCAATAACGTGACTGTGAACTTCCTTCCAGGCCTCAGTCCCACAGAGCTGCCCTTTGATTGTCTGGAAAAGACCAGCAGGATGCTCAGCTCCACTTACAACACCGAGAAAGCCATTGTGAAGACCTGGCGCCATCTTGCTGAAAGCTTTGGATTGAAGCGGGATGAAATTGGTGGCATGACAGATGGCATGCAACTCTTCGACCGCATCAGCACAGCTGGGTATAGTATCCCAGAACTGCTGACAAAACTGGTTCAGATTGAGCGATTGGATGCGGTAGAGTCTCTCTGTGTAGACATCCTAGAGTGGGCCCAAGTGATGCCGAAGCCTGATCCAGCTGTGACCTCCTGACTTGCATTTTTGTGATTTTCATTTCCAGACGATGATGGGGTGATTGAACTAACAAAGGGATTGAGAAGAAGATAAACTTTTGAAACGTCTGTAGCTTTTGTTTCAGTATCGTTTTTGCTATTGAAACAATAAAAAACAACAACCACCAAGGTTTGTTCTTGGTTTTTGGAATCAAATACAAAGTGCTCGAACTGAAGACTTTTTCAACAAGACTTGTTTATGTCCCCAAAAGACATTACAGTTCATTTACAGTTCCATTTACAAGCACGAGTACAGATCAATCTACTAGTATCATTACTTGCTTTGAAGAAATATGGGTTAATTTTGTTTCAGTCCTGGATAATGAATATGTCACATCAAAAATAGTGATCTATATGAAAATCTGTGCTGCTACAAGAAGTATTTTTTGAATTATAATTTTTCTCCCATATATTATGGATTTGGGGGAGGAAAAAATCCATGCCTGTAGGTGAAGTTGGCTGAATTATCATTCTACCAAGATCTATAGCTTTATTCCAATTTATTCCAATTATAGCAAATAAGAGTTTGTATAAGTGGTCCTTACAAACAGTTCAGCAATATTTTTATATATACTAGTGGAAACTTAAAGTACTTATAATATAAGCAGAATTTATTTATTAATGTAATATTGCATTTCATAAACATCTGATCGGGACCATCTTTTATGCACTAGAACAAACAAATGGGAATATTTGTTAGTTCTTGAAAAGAGATCATTAATGAGAGACAGAAGCCTGTAATAAATCTATCAAATTGATCAACTTTAGATGCAAAGGAAATTAATGACTGTTGAAACACTTTTATGTTTTAGCATTTAAAAATATTACAGATTTCTTGACTAGAATTGTTGCAGTCACCAACAGAAATTTCCATGGTATGTTTAGTTTTCCTGTGATGCTTTTACTTTACCCAAAACAATTTTTTTCTGGGCAGCTGTAATAGGAACAGTAAACAATAGTAGTTAATGAAGAAACAGAAATATCTACTTTTGATACAAGCACAGCTCCCTCTTACATTTGAATATAATGAATTATCATGATTATTTTTGAAATAAATCTGGCTTATAATGTCTGAGCAAATGAGAACACTGCTCCCAATTTCTCATGGTATATGAATTTGCATGGTGTTTGGGCATATTTGAGGATGTGTGTTTCATTTAATTCACCTTTTTCCCAGCTGGTGGGCCATCTGTCAGAAGGACTTGTGTGCCATGTGAATTAAATAGATCACAATCATCAGGGCTTCTATGATGGATGCAGGCTCCTCAGAACTGGAGACTTTCTTTTCTTTCTATAGAATGTTGGACTAAGTACCGACTGATAAAACTGTATTGCTCTAAATTATTTTATTTAATGTGAAGGTACTAATTTTTCCAATATTATTTAAAATAACTGTATACCATGTTTTAATATGAAATCCATGGAAGAACTGATTATAGGAACATCATATGAACACCTAAAGCAGTGTTTCTCAACCTTGGAAGCTTGAAGATGGGTGGACTTCAACTCCCAGAATCCCCCAGCGCTGGCTGGGGGATTCTGGGAGTTGAAGTCCACCCATCTTCAAGCTACCAAGGTTGAGAAACACTGACCTAAAGTTTGTTACGATGATCTACTTTGCATAGTTAAAGCGTCCATTAGGGCCTTCGTCCTTTCTTGCCTATTATCAGCACTTGAGAAATTTGCATTTGGGTCAGTTCCTGTGACCCATCCCGATAACCCACTTAGTGCAAAAAAGAGAGAATAGTAACTATTGAGTTTTATCATAGTATAACCCTAGTGTAAACACTGTGCCTTTGGATACAATGGCCTGTGGTCTTTATTTATAGATTTGAAAGGAATAGCCCCTCTTTTTATGCCAGAAATCATAACCACAGAGCCCAAGAGTTGGTAGAAATTTAATTAGCAAGTTTGTTAATATACCTATCAGAAACTGCTATGTTGACATATTTCAGTAAGTTATTATTATTAAAAGAAACAACATGCCTTTAAAACATTTTTAATTACAAGAAGCATGACTGAATGAAAATGCTATAAAACTATAATTCATGTTCAGGAAAATAATAAGTAGGCCAACCCCCTAGTGCCTTCATTCCAAATAAGAAAAATCAAATTCTAGTCTAATGGGGTCACTGAGATGAATATTTAATATTGGTATGTCTCCATGCAGCATCCAGTTTGTTAGCCTATGAGTTCTTGCCTTAAAATATATTTTACTATCTGCGATGTGTCCTTTCTCCTCTGAATAATGATAGAATTATTTCCTGTACTTAATTTGCAAACACAATATTTGTTACAGTTCCTTTTTCCAGTGCAGCTGGAAGCAACCTTGAAATCTATTTTCGTAGATACAAATAAATAGAAGTGTGAGATTAGTACCTTGAAAAAGGAGAGGAAGTGACTTTGGGTTTTATTCTGAGCCTCCACATCCTATAATCTAGTGCACAGTAGGACCATTCAGGTGGATGCTCAGTGGAAACCCAAGCAATCCCAGTGGAATTAATATTTGCAAATTCCACACATTAACCATTACATCATGAGATGTTGTATGGCAGAAGAAAACCACCCATGGTGGTCTTCTCAACATCTGCTCTAAGACAATTATCCAGAGGTAGGAGGCAATTGTCATAGCAGGTGGCAGGATCTAGCTAAACTTGGCTGATCTTGAATAGGCTAAGCAGAGTTGGGCCTTCTAGATCGTAAATAATAATAGGTGGATAAAAATGCCACAATAAGACTTTGACAAGCTGGTTGTGCACTGTTGCTAAGAAAACAAGATAAATGTATCAAGTATACATGCATTAAATTCTTTTTTTAAGATGGTGACATTATAAAGTAATCCGATAGGTTCATTGTTGCAAACTGGATTTAGTTTTTATTCCATCTTTGTAGTATTAGTTCCACAAGCACTTTAAAAAAAAGAAACATCTTTGGGTCATAATTTTGGGATTATAACATGCAAGAATTTCAACTGCTTATTCTGCATCTCCACATAAATGCAGCTCCAAACTATAAATAATAATTCACATCCCCACTTCCTACTGACAAAGTGATCTTGGAGAACTAAAGAATTGCCATTAGATTTGTTTTGGTAATTGTTTAAAAATACATAGTTTATGTCTGGGGAATATCAAGGCTTTGAAATCAACAGTACCAATGTGAACAGAGGAATATTTAATATTTTGTTTAAAATAGAAAGAAGCTTTTTACTGTAATTTAAAAAGCAGCAAAAGGCAAGATTAGTCCTGCATTCTTGATAAATATTGTAACAATTTTGTGTAATTTTGTATATATAACTTATTGTTGCACATTATGCAAAATAAATATGATAAAAACATAAAGCAACGTGTGTTCTAATAATTTAGATGGCACCATTCTTTTATACAACAGGCAAGTTTTGAAGAGTTTGCCAAAAGTTAACACAAGTATGGTTACATTTTTAAAACATGTATTATTTCAGTTTAATATAATATTGATTTTCATGTAATATTAAGTAATTTATCATTAACTGATAACAAAACATTAGTTCTAGCTGAAGTTCCCAAACATTTGTTTAAAATAATTAGCCGTCAGCATCAGACGTAGTTCTCTTTCAAGTCTATTTCACTGCCTACCAAAAGAATATCATCCCATGTTGTTTGCAGGGCATAATGTGTGAAACCTTTAGCAAAGGAATCTAACCATGTGGTTAAGTTATGAGCCACTTTTATTCATCCGAGAATAAAAGTGGCTCATAACTTAATCACATGGTTAGATTGACCAGTCAATTTTGGTGCTGTCTATGCTTCAAACCAGAGTGGATTTTCTTGTACAAGAAAGAATTTTTTTTTTCCAGTTTAAAACTCCATGGACCCAATTTAAGATCTTCTAATGAGGTCATTAGAGGCCATTAAAGGGACACAATAGCTTAGTGGCTTAGACGCTGAGCTTGTCGATCGAAAGGGTTCGAATCCCTAGTGCCGCATAATGGGGTGAACTCCTGTTACTTGTCCCAGCTTCTGCCAACCTAGCAGTTTGAAAACACATAAAAAATGCAAGTAGAAAAATAGGGGCCACCTTTGGTGGGAAGGTAACAGCGTTCCGTGCGCCTTTGGCATTTAGTTATGCCGGCCACATGACCACAGAGATGTCTTCAGACAGTGCTGGCTCTTTGGCTTTGAAACAGAGATGAGTACCGCCCCCTAGAGTCAGGAACGACTAGCACATATGTGCGAGGGGAACCTTTACCTTTTTAATGAGGCCATGTACCATTTGTGAACTATACCTTCTCTAGAACAGAGGCCATGGACTGGTACTGGTTGTTGGCCTGTTAGGGCCACACAGCTGGAGGTGAGTAGTGGATGAGTGAGCAAACTGAAACCATTCCCAACCCCCCGGTCCATGGAAAAATCATCTTCCAAGAAACTGGTCCCTGGTGTCAAAAAGATTGGGGATCACTGTTCTAGGAATCTAGATTTTTTCCCCCAATAATTTTACTTGACTCACTACCTAGTTTCTTTCAAGACTCCCCCATCTTTATTGTGCCTTCATGACGGCTGTATTCCTTCAGATGGGTCTAAATTAAAGATGGTAAGTGGAGCATATGCCATTCTTACTGGAGTATTAAGTCAGAACATTTTTGAGAGAATTGAATAACATACTTAAACTGGACATTCCCAGTCATGCTCCATAAAAAATGGATCTCAGATGTTTTTTTGTCCATTGTTAATTTTTCACATGTTCCAATCTGAGATGTCTCACTTGTGTGTGTACATGATTTTTTAAATTGTTGCTTATCTTTGCCACTAAATGTTGACAGACCTTCATGTGGGCCCCACTAATATAGAAAAGAAGCAAACAATACCCAAATATGGTACTTGTTCCAGATTGTTGGGGACAATATGCTGATTCTGTTAACCACTAAGAAAGGGCTGTAAAGCACTATGAAGCAGTATATAAGTCGGGTGAAATGCTACCGGTTCGCATGGGTTTGGGCGAACCAGTAGCTGCGGCGGCGTGTGGTTCAGAGAACCAGTAGCGGTGGCAGCGCGAGGCTCCGCCCACCCACCTGGAGGTCATTACTTACTGGTTTTAACCAGGCAATAACTTGTTTTTTACCCTCTGTGCGTGCGCACAAAGCTTTGCACATG